CCTTAGGGCAGCGAACTATAGATCTGGACATCTTGAGCTCCAGGAGCTCAAAGTAGCTACCTTTATGCAAAGCAAGGCCTTGTTCCAAACCCTAGGTTCCCATTTCTAGCTTATTTTGGTGTTTTGCTTCATACCTCTATGCATGTACGTAAAGTTGGCAACTTTACGTGTTATATCGGCCCTAGAAGCTTAGATCTATGAATTTGATGCACTGGAATCGATTAGAATCAACTGTATAGTGAAGACATGCATAGGACTCGACGAGTCATTCATTGGACTCGGCGAGTAGGAGTGCAAACTCCCGATTCTCCTATTTGAGAGTTGCGAGTTGAATCAGTGAGTGGAAGAGGACTCAGTGAGTTAGAACAAGGATCTGAAAGTAGAAGGACTCGACGAGTCTACGCCCGACTCGGCGAGTCGAGTCGCGAGTTAGAGAATTGTGAGTTAGGGAACTCGGCGAGTCCATAGTAGGACTCGGCGAGTAGAGTCAACCTGGAAGTTGACTCTGACAGGACTTTGACTTGACCAGGGGGGGGGGGGTAAATGGGTCATTTACTCCATGAGAATCATCAGTGATTCAGAATGTTATGTGATTATAGCCGGGGAGTCGCGGAGCAGCGGACAGGGATTTCTCACTCGGGATATCAGCAGCCAGTTATACGCGGTGAGTTCTCCTTCAGTAGGAACGGGTCTACGGCACCAAGGCCGGCTCGTAGTGTGAAATGATAGTAGCTGAGTGTGGGCGGGGCCCATATCCTATCCTAGCAGAGCGTGGGCGAGGCCCGTATCTCATAGTAGTAGTTAAATATGATGTATGAGTAGTAGCTTAGCTTTACATGTTGTTTGTGTGATACTTGTATGTTGGGTTTAGTAGTTGAGTGTGGGCGAGGCCGTACCTCATCATAGTCGAGTGTGGGCGAGGCCTGTATCTCGAAGTAGCTGAGCATGGCGAGGCCCGTACCTCAGAGATAGTGGAGTGTGGGCGAGGCCCGTATCTCCTAGACAGTGGAGTGTGGGCGAGGCCCGTATCTCCTAGATAGCGGAGTGTGGGCGAGGCCCGTATCTCCACGAGTGTGGGCGAGGACCGTATCTCCTAGTTGCATGCTATGTGTAGATGGTATGTGGTAGATTGGGGAGACTCACTAAGGTTTGTGCTTACTGTTTCAGTTTTGGTTTCGGTACTTCCACTAGCATTGGGAAGGGCTCAGGATGATCGCATGGCACACACACAGTCTTCAGCCTGGGAGCTAGACTCTGATATTTGGATATGAGATTTGATTTGAGACAGATACTATGATGTTTATGATACATGATTATGATTTTACTTATGATTTTGGATGGTTGATGGCTTAAATATATTTTGAAAACGAAATTTTTGGGTTGTATTTTTGGGATGTTTCAAGTTGGTATCAGAGCCTTGGTTTGAGGGATTCGAGCCGCTTTCGGGTGTGTCTGAACTCAAACTAAGGAAATGGTATAAGGTTTTCAAAAGGAAATCATTTTCGAAAAGAATTTTTGAAAAAGAAACTTTAAAGAGAAAAGAGTTTTGAAAAAGAGAAAAAGGGTGTGGTGCATGCAATCAGCCGAGCTCAAGTAAGTACTCCCAATTTACCCATACAAGTTTATGTTATGATTATCAGTTTTAGTGGAACAGCATGCTAGATTAGGGCTAAGGATCTAGGAGGATGCCTTATGTGCCTGCTATATGTGTTTCAGCTTTATGAGAACTGCATGCTAGTACAGATTAGACAGGAGGATAGCCTGAGTAGTATATGCTTGATTATGTGCACTCGATGTCCGAATGCTGCTTGCTTTGTGCTTTTAGGAGTTCTAGTTTTCTTTCACTAGCTAGTAAACAAATATGTTAAGTTACATATGCAAGGACTAAATAATTCCAGAAGGTTAGGTCTAGCTCCTCGCAGCTCTTGATAGAGTCCAACCGTTGTAGGGTAGGATCTCTCATTCGAAGAATTATCTAGTCTGAGTGATATGTAATAGTATTTGCAGCTAGTTAGGGGAAGAAAGCAGGGACTTCTTACGCAGCTGATGGCGGAGAGTGGGTTGGAGATTTCCCTAGGCAAGCCTAGGAAGAGCGTAGCAGAGATCAGTAGCAGTAGAAGGGACTTGGTGGAGTCAAGGCAGTTCTTGAAGAAAGTACGGATAGATGTGGAAGGTAGTATGGGCCCGTACTACTGAAAGCAGAGGATCCGTACTCGAATCGAGGAAGGCTGAGGCGAAACCAGGAAACTTGTGGTAGATGTGATCCCTCTAGTTATATCAGTGTTTCTAACGATTGTCATTATGTGTTTCAGAATGGTGGTTTTACGCCCTAGACCAGCAGTCGGCAGTTCAGGTGTCGGAGAGGGATCAGGTTCAGGCTCGGGAGCCGAGCATTTGGATGAGCAGACCAGAGAGTTCATCTCTCAGAGGTCACGCGTAGCATACTTGAGCAGACTCCTGTGATCTTTGGATCGGTCAAGGAGGGTATTCTTGAGTTGTTGGATGAGAGGTTGAGTGCGTTCCGCGCTGAGATGGTGACTATGATGGGGTCACATACTTTGACCTTCAGGGAGTTCCGGGCTTGTGGAGCTCCAGATTACCATGGGCCCGAGACCCCATTGCGAGTACCAGATGGTTGGCTAATGTGGCCAACGCCTTCCGCACTAGCAGATGTCCCGAGGGGGACAAGGTCCGACTTGCATCCTGTCTTCTGAAGGGCAGGGCACGTGATTGGTGTGGGAGGAGGTTGGACATGTCATTGGGGATGATGCAGCCCTTGATGCTATGACCTGGACGGATTTTGTGGCCCGGTTCAGGGCCGAGTTTGCACCTGTCATAGAGGTGCATCAGCTTGCTAGGGAGTTCCAGGATCTCCAGCAGACGACGGAGACAGTGGCGGAGATTACCGCCAAGTTCAGGGAGAGGGCTCTTCTCGTTCCTCAGTACGCGGCAGATGAGGAGATGAAGAAGGCCCGGTACCATGAGATGTTGAGGAGTGATATCAGACAGTTTGTGAGCCGTTCCAGCTGTAAAACGCTGGATGACATGATTGCGAGGGCTCGTGAGAGGGAGATTGATCTTAAGATGGAGAGAAAGAGGAAACCAGAGGTAGTGTCTGGTTCAGATAGTTCGGGCAAAAGGCCCAAGACAGATTTCCGAGGGAAGGGCCAGCAGGGTCGAGGCGCTGCGGCAAGTGTGGTAGGTCGCACGATAGGGCGTGCAGGGCAGGGAGTTCAGGCTGCTTCAAATGCGGCCGAACAGGTCATATGAGCAGGGATTATACTGCTACTTCTACCGTTACTACCACGTCACTTTCTGACCTGATTTGCTTTCAGTGCAATCAGAGGGGCCATAAGAGGTCCAGTGTCCGAGCTTAGCAGCAGGGAAAGGTGGCGACACCTGCCCCTGCTACATTGAGGATTACAGACGGCCGTCAGGGTCGGTCCGAGGCGCCAGTGGCGAAGAGTAGTAGAGCCTTTCAGCTGACAGCAGAGGAGGCGCGAGCGACTCCTGATGTGGTGACGGGTATGTATTTTCCTCTTATCTCTGTTTTTGATATAGTTTGTTTCTCATGATTATGTGTGTTTGTATATAGGGTCGTTCTTAGTGAACGGCATTTTCAGCTACGGTATTGTTTGATTCGGGGGCTACCCGATCATTCGTTTCGCTCGCATTTAGCAAGCGATTTAGCAGAGCTCCAGGGGAGCTGGATTGTCCACTTGATGTTGAGATAGCCGATGACAGGACCGTCAGGGTCGCGAGAGTCCATAGGGATGTACATTACGGCTGTATGACGAGCAGTTCATGGTGGATTTGGTTCCCATTCCCTTAAGAGGGAATAAAGTTATAGTAGGTATGGATTGGTTGAGCCCGAACGGGGCAGTGATTGACTGTGAGCGCCAGTTGGTGAGGGTTCGCACTCCTAGTAGGGAGAGTTAGTGATTCAGGGCGAAAGGCCGCAGCACGGACCGATTCTTTGCTCAGCAGTGAGAGCGAGGCGCTATTTCAGCAGGGATGCGCAGGATACGTCGCCTATGTTATGGATACCCGGGAAAAGGGGTAAGGCGACAATGATGATGTACCAATAGTGCGAGAGAGTACCCGGACGTATTCCCAGAGGATTTACCTGGGATACCCCCGGAGAGACAGGTGAGTTTAGGATTGATCTGGTTCCTGGTGCGGCTCCGATAGCCAAGGCACCGTATCGGTTGGCTCCTCCTGAGATGTAGGAGTTGTCTACGCAGCTGCAGGAGCTACTAGACAAGGGTTTTATCAGACCGAGCAGTTCGCCATGGGGAGCCCCGATCCTGTTTGTGAAGAAGAAGGACGGGTCGCACCGTATGCGTATTGATTACCGGGAGCTGAATAAGGTAACGGTGAAGAAACGTACCCACTCCCGAGGATAGATATTTGTTCGATCAGCTGCAGTTTGTGTTTTTTAGCATCTTGGTTTTCCAAGATTGATTTACGGTCCGGATATCACCAGATGCGGGTCATAGATGATGATGTATAGAAGACTGCTTTTAGGACCCGCTATGGTCATTATGATTTGTGGTGATGCCGTTTGGGCTCACCAATGCTCCAGCCGCGTTCATGGATCTCATGAACCGTATGCAGGCCGATGCTGGATCGGTCTGTGATAGTGTTTATTGACGACACTTGGTTTACTCCAAGACTCAGGAGCAGCACGAGGAGCACCTGAGAGAGGTGATAGAGACACTTA